AATAACTTTGGGGGGGGGAGGGGGGTGTGTTAGAGTCGCAACAGAATGGTAGGATAGTTAGAGAAAATACAGAAATAAAGAGATAAAAAACTGGTGAGAGGGAAAGAAAAGAACAACAATATACATTAAGGTTGTATTTAATTTAAGGATTTAAGGAGGAATTTAAAAAATAAAAAATAAAAAATAAAAAAATTGAAATTAAGTTAAATATAAATATATTTTAATTATTATTATTATTATTATTTTAAATTCCTTATCAAATTCTATAACCAAATACAATCTACTGGGTACCAATTGATGGTATAGTTATTGGTTGTAAAACTTTGGCAAAGACTACTATTCTAGAGTATCCTCTTCATTCTACTTGAATGAAAATCTGAAGAAGTTTTGAAAATTTTGAAGATGACAACAATGATTGTTGAGAGGATAACGAGGAGAGGCGATGGCGTTGAGGAGTAAGAGAAAGAATTAGTGTAAAATCTATTAGATGAAAATAAGAGAATGACAAAGGGGCTCATTTGAAAGCAATGACTGCATAAAATTCTTAAAAATTAATAATGAAAGATAAAAATTAATTAACATGATACGATTGATTTCATCAGAAGTTAATAATGAAAAGAGTAGAAATGGATAAAAGGTTTGTGGGTCCAGAGATAAAAAAGAAAAACATGAAAATAGATACTCAATTTTGTAATTGACCCTTAGTTTTACAATTTTTAACCATTAATAAAAAAAAGTTAACTATATTTCAAAAATAGTATACAATGAAACTGTTATTATAATAGTGAACGCAATGCAATTTTGACATATCCACAGGGAAAAAGCCTAACTCAAAAAACAAAAAGGTTACGGGATCATTTGGAAAGCTGGTTGAAAGTTAATTTTTGATTTTTAATTTATTTTGAGTTACATTATTTTTTACAATTTTTTAATTACTAAAAGGTAAAAAAGTTTTAAAAAGTCAAATTTTTTTTAACCAACTTCCTAAAATGGTATGTCTCCGTATTTCATTTTTTATAAGATAATGATTAATATATTAGGTCAAGGTTTCGGATTGTATCGTATTGTTAGATTTTCGTAAGTCTATCACGAAACTTATATCGATAATCAAAATTATTTAATATGTAGGATTTGTCGAGTATTTTATTCTTACAAAGAATTATATTGATTAAATATCGATTGCTACTTAATCATATTACATTTTTGTTAACATTTTTTGTTTTAATCATACTAAATGTTGACAGAAATGTGTTTTGATCAAATTACTATCGATATCTGACTAACATAATTTTTTATATGAATAAAATACTTGACGAGTCCTACATATTAAATAGTTCGAATCATTGATACGGATTCCATAATAAACTTACAAGACCTAACAATATGATCCAATCTAATTATGGACTAGACACACATAAGTCACACCCAATATATTTAAATTACCATTCAAGTTAGGGGTGGTTTGGTAAACATCTTAGACTAAAAAATCATAAAAGGATAAAAAAAAAAAAGTCAAAAAATCACAAAAGGACAAAATAAGTAAAAAATCAAAAAAAAATACACCGTTCCAAAGTCAAAAAAATCAAACAAGAATACCAAACGACTTCGTAGTTTAAAAAAGTTAAAAAATTTTAAAAATTAACTAAAAAAGTTATTGCCAAACGAGGGCTTAGGCATCGTTTGGAAACATGTTATTTTAGTAACTTTTTGACTTTTTAACTAAAATATGAGATAAAAAAACTAATATGTTTTGAGTGACTTTTTGACTTTTTATAAAAAGATGTGTAAAAAGTAAAAAGAAAATAGAATTTTTAACTTTTTAATATATATTATAAAATTTTTAATTTTTTTTATAACTTTATAACTTTTAAATTAAAATAATTACTTGCCAAACGGGACCTTAATATCTCTTTATAAATTCGAAAAGAAAATCTCATCGACATTAAATATATACCTGACCAACTGTTCAAATCTTATCTTCCAATGCGATTTAAAGAAGGGAAAACCGCGTATTGTTTGAAAATTGCGAATTTAGGAACACCGTGTTTACACACACGAAAAAGGAACAGTAGTGTTTGTGGTGTCTTTGTTTGAGATATATTATAATCTTATTTTTATAATCTAAACCGTTCATATTGTAAGGTTTGTTGAGTATTTCATGCTTATCAAAAATTATATTAATCGGATATTAATAACTATATGATCGAATTACATATTGTTTATGCTATTTCTCAAAAGAAAAACTTATTATTTATTTTTTTGGTTATCGATCATATAGTTGTCAATATCCGATTAATATGATTTTTGATAAGCATGAAGTACTCAACAAACCCTACAAAATAAACGGTTTGGATCAATAAATAAGATCATAATACACCTCAAACGGAGACACCACAATCACTACTGTGTTTTTAAGCACAACCGTGACCCCTTTTTCCACAAAAAAATGTTTTACATCACTAATTAGTAGTGGCTCTAATGATATAACAGTGGGTGAGATCCACTGCCACAGTGTGTTGATGCCTTGTTTTTTTTTTATTTTTTATTTTTGGGCAAATTACATATATCCCCCTTGAGGTTCGGCTAAATTACAGATACCCTCTGAGGTTTGAGAAATTACGAATTCCCCCTTGAATGCTATATTTGCATAAGAAATTAGGGGATAATTTGTTATGAAATATAAACCTCAGGGGACAAATTGTTATGAAAATACAAACCTCAGGGAGCGAGATGTAATTTCCAAAACTTCAAAAATATCTATAATTTAACCAAACCTTAAAAAAATATATGTAATTTGTCCTTTATTTTTTTTTCAATTGCGACCTCACTAATAATGAAATTAATGATAAAAAATTAGTGATCTATATAGCATTGCTCCTTCCCACGCTACACAACACAACCCTTCTCCTTCCATATTCTCCACAATTTTCCATACAACAGACACAGCTAAGGCGCATGTGCTCCACTCATAACTCTCATTAGAGCATCTCCAATGCACTAGGCATATAATACTTGTTAGTTAAAGTTTTAAAAAGTCAAATTTTTTTTAACCAACTTCCTAAAATGGTATGTCTCCGTATTTCATTTTTTATAAGATAATGATTAATATATTAGGTCAAGGTTTCGGATTGTATCGTATTGTTAGATTTTCGTAAGTCTATCACGAAACTTATATCGATAATCAAAATTATTTAATATGTAGGATTTGTCGAGTATTTTATTCTTACAAAGAATTATATTGATTAAATATCGATTGCTACTTAATCATATTACATTTTTGTTAACATTTTTTGTTTTAATCATACTAAATGTTGACAGAAATGTGTTTTGATCAAATTACTATCGATATCTGACTAACATAATTTTTTATATGAATAAAATACTTGACGAGTCCTACATATTAAATAGTTCGAATCATTGATACGGATTCCATAATAAACTTACAAGACCTAACAATATGATCCAATCTAATTATGGACTAGACACACATAAGTCACACCCAATATATTTAAATTACCATTCAAGTTAGGGGTGGTTTGGTAAACATCTTAGACTAAAAAATCATAAAAGGATAAAAAAAAAAAAGTCAAAAAATCACAAAAGGACAAAATAAGTAAAAAATCAAAAAAAAAATACACCATTCCAAAGTCAAAAAAGTCAAACAAGAATACCAAACGATTAAAAAAGTCGTAGTTTAAAAAAGTTAAAAAATTTTAAAAATTAACTAAAAAAGTTATTGCCAAACGAGGGCTTAGGCATCGTTTGGAAACATGCTATTTTAGTAACTTTTTGACTTTTTAACTAAAATATGAGATAAAAAAAACTAATATGTTTTGAGTGACTTTTTGACTTTTTATAAAAAAATGTACAAAAAATAAAAAGAAAATAAAATTTTTAACTTTTTAATATATATTATAAAATTTTTAATTTTTTTAATAACTTTATAATTTTTAAATTAAAATAATTACTCGTCAAACGAGGCCTTAATATCTCTTTATAAATTCGAAAAGAAAATCTCATCGACATTAAATATATACCTGACCAACTGTTCAAATCTTATCTTCCAATGCGATTTAAAGAAGGGAAAACCGCGTATTGTTTGAAAATTGCGAATTTAGGAACACCGTGTCTACACACACGAAAAAGGAACAGGGTCTCTCTGTAGTGTTTGTGGTGTCTTCGTTTGAGATATATTATGATCTTATTTTTATAATCTAAACCGTTCATATTGTAAGGTTTATTGAGTACTTCATGCTTATCAAAAATTATATTAATCGGATATTAATAACTATATGATCGAATTATATATTGTTTATGCTATTTCTCAAAAGAAAAACTTATTATTTATTTTTTTGGTTATCGATCATATAGTTGTCGATATCCGATTAATATGATTTTTGATAAGCATGAAGTACTCAACAAACCCTACAAAATAAACGGTTTGGATCAAAAAATAAGATCATAATACACCTCAAACGGAGACACCACAGTCACTGCTGTGTTTTTAAGCACAACCGTGACCCCTTTTTCTACAAAAAAATGTTTTAGATCACTAATTAGTAGTGGTTCTAATGATATAACAGTGGGTGAGATCCACTGCCACAGTGTGTTGATGCCTTGTTTTTTTTTTTTTTTTTTTGGGCAAATTACATACATCCCCCTTGAGGTTTGGCTAAATTACAGATACCCCTGAGGATTGAGAAATTACGAATTCCCCCCTGAATGCTATATTTGCATAAGAAATTAAGGGATAATTTGTTATGAAATATAAATCTCAGGGGACAAATTGTTATGATAATACAAACCTCAAGGGGCGGGATGTAATTTCTGAAACTTCAGAGGAATATCTATAATTTAGTCAAACTTCAAGAGAGTATATACAATTTACCTTTTATTTTTTTTCAATTACGACCTCACTAATAATGAAATTAATGATAAAAAATTAGCGATCTATATAGCATTGCTCCTTCCCACACTACACAACACAACCCTTCTCCTTCCATATTCCCCACAATTTTCCATACAACAGACACAGCTAAGGCGCATGTGCTCCACTCATAACTCTCATTAGTACGTGTTGACTTGTCTCTACTTTTTCTTTCCTTTTCGCTCCCTAGACTAGACCAACACATTTCTTTTTCCTCTTCCTAAAAACTTCGATTCATTTTCACTCCAATGCAATACCAATAACAAGAATTGTTTGCAAGAACCAAAAAAAAAAAAAAAAAAAAAAAAACAACAAATTACACAAATGCTTCAATTTCGTTGTCGTCTCCGATCAATCCCAGCCGTCGTCCTCCTCACTCTGCTCGTTCTATGGCCGTTGATGTGTCTCGCGATTCGTTCTTTTCCCAACTCCGGCGAGTCGGAATTCGAGAAATTGATGTTCCAATTCTCTGAAGCACCAGAGTACCGTAACAACGGTGAGTGTCCGATCTATTCCAATCGGGAATTAGTATATTCTTGTGACCAATCACTCGTCCACATTGCAATGACTCTCGACTCCGAATACCTCCGGGGTTCCATCGCCGCGGTCCATTCGGTCCTCCGCCACGCCTCCTGCCCCGAAAACAACTTCTTCCATTTCATCGCCGCCGAGTTCGACCCGTGGAGTCCCCGGGTCCTTACCCAACTCGTCCGATCCATTTTTCCTTCTCTGAAATTCAAGGTTTATATCTTCAGAGAAGACGCTGTAATAAACCTCATCTCTTCCTCGATCCGACAAGCTCTCGAAAACCCGTTAAACTACGCCCGGAACTACCTGGGTGACATTCTCGACCCGTGTGTAAACCGGGTCATCTATCTCGACTCGGATGTAATCCTCGTCGACGACATTCACAAGCTCTGGAAGATAACCCTGACCCGAAACCGTGTCATCGGAGCGCCCGAATATTGCCACACCGACTTCACCAAATACTTCACCGACAATTTCTGGTCCGACCCGGTTCTATCAAGGAAAATCGGGTTGGGCAAGCACTGTTACTTCAACACGGGAGTGATGGTGATGGATTTGGTGAAATGGAGAGATGGGAATTACCAGAGGAAGATTGAGAACTGGATGGAACTGCAGAGGAAGATGAGGATTTATGAACTGGGTTCGTTACCGCCGTTCTTGCTGGTGTTTTCCGGCGAGGTGGAGGCGGTGGACCACCGGTGGAACCAGCACGGGCTCGGCGGCGATAACCGGAGGGACAGTTGCCGGAAATTGCATCCGGGTCCGGTGAGCTTGCTCCATTGGAGTGGGAAGGGAAAGCCGTGGGTCAGACTCGACAACAAGAAACCGTGTTCGTTGGATTATATTTGGAAACCGTACGATCTTTACAAGCCGAATCACAAGCGGTCTTCTAATCAACAGCCGTTGGTTTTGGCTACTTCTTCGAATTCGAATTTGATTGGCTACTCAAATTATTTCACATGATTCTTTGAATTTTTTTATTTTTAGGGAAAATCTTTTTGGGGGTTTACATAGTGATTCATTCTTTGATTGCCGTGTATATAGATTGGGTTTAGGATTAAAATTGTTTTTAAAAAGAATTTCATTTGTTATACCAAATTTGATTTAGTTTTGCGGTTGCTTTGATTGGAACAAATTTTCACTGATTTCGATTGGTATTGTTACCAATTGGGAGGTATTTTGAGGAGAGGAATAGTTGTTCAATTTATTTATATTTTTATGTGCACAGAATCCGATTGCATAGTTAAGAGTTATTTTGAGAACATGATTAAAAATTATTTTTTGTGAGAGAGAGAAGGGAGTTATAATCTGAGAAGTGGATTATAACTCACTTTCTAAAATAGCCCTAAATATGAGTATTTTGTTTGATTTTATAATCAAAATCTGTACACTATTAATTTTTCTTGTTAGATCATCCAAATTTCAATATATTTTTGTTGTAATTTGCCCAATTAGGCATTGACACATGTCTTGTTTTGATAGGTAACTTTTTTTTTTTTTCTCTTATTCTTTCTTTGCTTTTTTTTTTTTTTTGAATTAAGTTAAAATAATTTATGGTGGACCACTTTGATGAAGTTATGATTGAATTGATTTGATTAAAATAACGATTTTTGATCTCAAATAACATTGATTTCAAAACTAAGATAATATAAATGAAGATTGGGAAAAAGTTGCTGCATCTATACAGCTTATGAGGCTTTGTTAGTTCCTTAAGTTGGAATAGCTTATTAAGGGTCCGTTTGGATATGAGTTGACATTTAGACATTTTGATTTTTTTGAATTTTATGAGAAAAAAATAAAATGATTATAGGTTAAATGTAATGATTTATCTTATTAAGTTAAAAAGTTTATTTTATCTTTTTATTACTATTTTAACTAAAAAATCTTTTTATTTTTTTATGTCAAATAAGCCCTAAAGAATACTTGGCTTGTCCAAGGCTAATGGTATCTTTTTAACATATAATGTGGGTTGTGTTATATAAAATTGGAAAATTGTGTGGCAAGTTTAAAGTATTCTCGCCTTTTAATTGACTTCAAATTATGTTTCACATTTCCCCTATCAATATAGATACACCAGTAATTGTATGCATATGCATACGATGTGCATAATAAGAAATACACAATCAAAACGATTGATAGAAATTTGAAAATAAAAATAAAAATAAAGTACTCTTATATGAAATAATTACTCTTACCAACTTGTCATTGGGCTTATTTAGAAATAAAAAATAATTATGTAAAATTTTTACAAACTTTATATACACATATTTATAAACTTTAAATTTGGTGTCATGAAAAAAGGTTGAATGGTCATTGATCATATTCCTTTGTCAACAACCATTTTAGCCACCATCTTAACCTCAAGAATTAGACATCCAATTTTATTGTACTTTTTTCTTTTTATCATATTTAACTTGTTTATGGTTAGAAAATTGGAAATATTCAATTTAGGTAACTTAGATGGTCAAATATGAAAGACCTTTAATATGAACCAAATTTAGGTAACTTAAATGGTTAAATATGAAACAAGTTGACTAAAATGAGTTTACAGTCCTTGCAGGAGAATCCCAAGATCCACATGAAGACCTGACCGACAATGAACCAAATTTTGGAGATTTTTGGGATTCGGTTACAGAAATAATTGCTGACAAACTCATCCAAGACAAAAACAAAAGTAAAGGCAAAGGCAAAGATGACTAATACCTTTGGCCTACCCATACAGTTCTGTCTGCCATTCCAGTTAGCCACTTTTACAGCTCGGTTTATACCTTGTGCGCAAGATAGCGCGATAAAATGCATGCAAAATGCAAGTAATGGTCACAGTGCAAAATAGCGCGATGCGCAAAATTGCACGATAAAATGCATGCAAAATGCAAGTAATGTGCACAAAACAGTGTGATGAGGTGCGCAAGATAGCGCGATAAAATGCATGCAAAATGCAAGTGACGGTCACAGCGCAAAATAGCCCGCTGCGCAAAATAGTGCGATAAAATGCATGCAAAATGCAAGTAATGTGCACAAAACAGTGCGATGAAGTGCGCAAGATAGCGCGATAAAATGCATGCAAAACGCAAGTAATGGTCACAACGCAAAATAGCGCGATAAAATGCATGTAAAATGCAAGTCATGTGTAGAAAACAGTGCAATGAGGTGCGCAAGATAGCATGATAAAATGCATGCAAAATGCAACTAATGGTCACAGCGCAAAATAGCGCGATAAAATGCATGGAAAATGCGAGTAATGTGCACAAAATAGTGCGATGAGGTGCGCAAGATAGCACGATAAAATGCATGCAAAATGCAAGTAATGGTCACAGCGCAAAATAGCGCGATTCGGAAAATAGCGCGATAAAATGCATGCAAAATGCAAGACATGTGCACAAAACAGTTCGATGAAGTGCGCAAGATAGCGCGATAAAATGCATGCAAAATACAAGTAATGGTCACAGCGCAAAATAGCGCGATGCGCCAAATAGCGCGATAAAATGCATGCAAAATGCGATATTCAATGGATGGTTGATCCTTGGGAGATTAAGCGTCGCTATCTTGCCACTCAACATTCTCCTCCACATTTTGATCAATACCGATATGTGTACGAGCAAATTCTTACTGAACTTGCATCCGTACAATTCCAGCATACTCTGGCCGCTCCTAATCGAACTGCCAGTCCTATTAATTACAGTAAGGCCACTATCCAGACTATTTTACCCATTCAAGCTTGGGGCATTCATCCACATGTCACCCGAACCCTTGACATTCGTTCTAAAGAAACCCGCTACAGTTATTGGGATTATATAGATGCCTTTACTCAGGCATTTTATTATATGAACCCTCCTCGCAGCCATTCTTGGTTTTTTCGAGTTCTTCCTGACTTATTAAAAAATGATCTCCCCTCCTGGTTTCTCATTTGGTGGGATACATTTGGTCTCCAACTTGATGCATTTCCAGAACATGTTAGGCTTGCATTCAATGAATGGCAAGCAGCTTTCAGTAAAATTCCAGCAAATAAGGACATTTCTATGTCAAAATGTCTTGTCCATTTTGTTATCAGATTTGGAATTCCATGGATCTGGAAGTGGGATTTCAGATGTGATTTCCAGAATAAAATTCCACGCTTAAAAAGAATTTTTCTTTATAAATGGTGGATTAAAATGGATGATCCTAAGCCAAAGCAGGAGTTGCTTCAGAAAATTAAGGATCATACACAAGCTTGTTGGGATGCCTCTCCCAAGCTTATTCCAGCATCTCCAGTAAATCCTTTTATCCAGGTCCAGCAAGAACTTAGACAGCAATTTCCAGACTTATCAGAAACAGAACTTATTGTTAAAAGTATGGATTATATGAAGCAACAGTTTCTCCAATCCATGTCCAGCAAAGATTCCAGTATGAAATCAGTCTCCAGTACCCAAAGTGAGGATGACAGAGTTCCTACTGATCCTTACGATGATGAAAATGAGTTTACAGTCCTTGCAGGAGAATCCCAAGATCCACATGAAGACCCGACCGACAATGAACCAAAATTTGGAGATTTTTGGGATTCGGTTACAGAAATGATTGCTGACAAACTCATCCAAGACAAAAACAAAAGTAAAGGCAAAGGCAAAGATGACTAATACCTTTGGCCTACCCATACAATTCTGTCTGCCATTCTAGTTAGCCACTTTTACAGCTCTACAAAACGACATACCAACTTTCGGTGCATGATTGACAACCTGCCAACCTACTTTTGGCAAAAGCAGATTCCACTATCTGCTTCCTTTCCAGCTGTCTCACGTTACCGACAAGAAGATAAAGAAGATAGGATGCTCGACTGCAACAACCATCTAGCACACGCCACCTGTCTTCGTTATCTCTCTTTCTTGTAATATAAATAGGTAGCCTCTGGAT